AATTTTTATATGTTGAGATAAGGTTTACTTACATTTATATTTGACTATTGTTTAAATTCAGTAGTTGTAGAAATGGAGTTGTTAAAGAATAGTTTGTGGAGAGTCATTCGGGAGTTTATATGGTGAAATGCTCTTTTTGTTGATATCATAAAGCTTATATCCCATGTACCAAAAATATTCAACTTAAGTATTTATAATCTGTTTAAATCCTCTAAAAATAAAAATAAACTTTTCTCAGAAGACAGAATCTTGTTCCTGTAACTTAATTTTGGTTGAGCATATCTGGTGGTTTTTTGAGGACTCCTATGTTTGTAGTGTAGTCATACAGTGTTTTAAGCCAATATTTATATGGTTGATGAGTAATTTCTGTCACATTTATTTTCGTGGTTTGATAACCATGGGATTTATAGATTGCTTTTGAGGTGAATTTCTTATCCCATCTATCACATTTGGAAGCACTGTAATTCAGTGAATGTACGGTGTGAAACACAACTAGCATATTACCTGAGGATAAAAGGAATTAAGTATGGAGAAGATAGTTGGATGAAGGGGTGTATTGGTCTGTTTATGCGGACTTGTTTCTTGTAATTTTAAATTCAATAATGAGAACTGGATTTGAAATTAAAAGATTCTATCAGTACTCGAAATTGGATTTGGTGAACTATGACCACGTGTGGAATTCAGCAATTAAGAAAATTTGCCTATGAAAAAGGGGCACTTGATCAGCATGCAGAGAGGTGCCCTCATGTCATCATGGACTGAAGATGTATAACCAACTTTACCTGTATTTTGGGATGGACATATACTTTTGGCATTTTTCTTGGATATATAAAAAATATAATCATGGCATTGTTAACTTTGAGATAATTCAAGTTATGGACATGAACTTTAAAACAATAATCTTGCTTCTGTTTTCACATTTATGTACTTTTCTTTTCACATGCACATGAGTATTCAGTTCAAATTCATTTAATTCTATTATTAATATTATTTAAAATTAAAAATTTTACTTCTATTAGATATTGAAAACATGACAGATTTCAGTGTGTCTTGTACATGTTTAAAAAAGCAGGGATGTTCACATATGAAATCAAGATTATTTTGTGAGTATATATGCTGGGGTTGAGTTGATTTGTAGCTGGGTTTTGTCAGAGGTCCTTTGTTCACTTGCACTGGGGTAATTAGACACCATTGTTACTTTTGTTCTTGATGTGAATGCACTATTATTGCCAATTACGTAACAATGACATTAACAATGAGGACTTCTCAATTTCGTCGATCTTTTCTCATGTGTGGATACAGAATCCAAGTGAAAAATTCAAAATATGCACATCAAGTGTTATCATGAATGAAGTATGTAACCTTATACAGAGTATCTTTGTTGTGTCCCCTGTGTCTTTATCACTGCGATCAATGTCCCAAGCAAGATTATATTCTTACAAGCATCTACACTGTACACATGTCACCAATAATATGTAATATAGCCAAAGATTTTTTGTTATATTTTCCTTATTGTTGTGTTTGCAAAGTTACAAAAGTGCAAATAAATATTGAAGATTTTTTAAACTACAAAGTATTGACTATTATACTGTTTTCATGGCAAGTATGAGTCGTCCTGGATGATCTGATTTTAATGTGCAAATTTTAAACCAGTACCTAAGACCCCATTCCCAGAGATTAGGTCGATCCAACTAGATCGACCAAACTCCCTGGGGGTTCAGGCTAAATAGCTGTCAGCCGAGCAGGTACGAAAGTTAATTCCCCCCTTACAGCATGTAGTAGGCAGGACAGACATTTAAGCCAGATTATCTGACAGTAATCTAGTGAGACTCCCCATGGGGATAGATCGATCCAAAATCTATGGGAATGCACCCTAAGTGAACGGGAGTCAAAGCTGTACCATTCTAATATGATCAGCTTCATTCAATATCTAGCTAATGTTACCAATGGATTCACAAGTCCATTTTAATTATTTATGCAGAGAGTTATGCAGACATTTCTTGGCTATCTCAGTTTCCAATGTGCCCATAAAATATGACCAGTGTTTTTCCAAAACCATTGGAAGACTCACCACATGGACACTTTTATTCATCCGTAACATCATTCACCTCTGGCATAAGTCGGAATTTAAGTAGATGTTCATAATAAGGCATATTGGTTTCGATACATTTTTGTATGTCCTGTGGCAGTTCCTTTACCATGGTGTGGCCTATTTCTTCTTGTTTCTTAAACCCTGAGCTCTTCAGAAGGGTGTCATACCACCCTGGCCACCGATGCCAATGTGTTTTATCTGGCACAGCACCTGAGTCCCACTCTAGCATCTCTTTGTGAAAGGTTAATCCTGTTCTTCTGCAGTATTGTCGGATGATGGCATCTAAATAAAAAATTTAAGATCCTCCAGTTTTATTTCTTATTTGCTTTCATACAAACCCATTATATACTCTATTATTTCAAATTTCACTATCAAACAAATCCCATAAAATACTTTTTGAGTATTGTTAATTTCATGACAATTAAACGGTTTTATCAGTGTTTATAGAAATTGTTAAATACCTTTGGTATCAAAAAATTACAAACTTAAATTTAAAAAAAGGCTACAAACCTGGATTTTGTAACAGATCATCTGCATCAATGAGTACTGGCACTCTGCCACTTTCCTCTCGAATAAGGTGAAAAAGTTGATGCAAAGGTTTATAGCTTGCTTCCAGTGTGTCGAATTCTTTAGTTGCTGTAAAAGATACATAGATAATTAACCCCCATTTACAAAGGCTCGTAACTTGTTTCAAGTGTGTCAAACTGCATAACTCACTATTCCAGTCATATACATCAGCCCTCAAGTTTGAAGACAACAGATCAACTTAACTCGAATTGTGTTCTCTGTATTGTATATATGCTTTAAGAAAGCTGCATAACTGTTGAAAAAGGCCCTATCAAACTTATTTTTGAACTCGAACTTTTATGGAGATTCACCAGTACTTTACTTTTTTAATGTTAATTTTTGACACATTGGCATTTTCAAGGTGTGACTTTGAACTACCATGGACCTACGATGTTACCTGCAGCGCATAATTAAAGATTGGTGGTGATTATGCTTCTGAGCATTATGTAATATTGCAACTAAGTTGAAGAAAGCCCTATTTTGGTCACTCACACCATAAAGCCAGTAAAGGGAATCCATGTCACTAATTATTCTCAAACTGCCGGAAAAAAAATTTTCAAAATAGTTATTTTGTCAATTGTGATGCCTTTTGTCTGTACATTCGACAGCTTTGCTGCCTCATTCCTTATAAAATTTGATAGTCATTAAAGAATTTAGCAAAGAAAAACTGGTTAAGTATTATCTCTTCATGCACTGATGATTTATCAAAATTAAGCATGCTGACAAATTTAGAACTGACAATACTGAATAACTAAAATTAGCGGTAAAAAACAGAGGATATCAATTATAAGATTCTAAATAAACCCTTGACTGCGTTTCTCACCATTCCGTTCATCCGTGAGACAGTTATATAAAGAAGGCACAGATTTGGCAGGGTTTCGAATGAGAAAGGTGTGCTGATAGCCCCTTGGGACGTAGTCAAGTGATTGGAGTCTGTCCACCAAATACACTGCCATCTCTTTCCCGAACACTAGTTCGGCTCCTGCAATATGAAATATGCATTTGAGGGAGTAGGCCCCACTGGCCAGGAAGCGCAACCTGTATTTTACAGTAATTTTGCCACGTTCCGAGAGAGGCCCGAGAGATTTATTGGTTTATTATAATAAAGTTTTCTGTTAACCATTATCAATACGGATTTTTGTCTGAAACATACTTTTATTACAATTATTATTCTAATAATAGTTTGGGTCTTAGACGTTCCAGTGGACACGACTGATCCGTGTTTCCTACAGTCATATGAAGTGCAAAGTCCAAATATGCTTAATCCTTGTGTTCCACTTTTGTTCGCCATTTTTATTATATTAAAACAAACAAACATGTTTTTCAGTCCAGACTCCGCCGATGTGGAATGCAAACTACAGGATATTGGTCTTTTTTCTCAATTTCAAAGAGACGTTTCACTCACAAATCTTAGTTACACTTTCACATTAGTGTTCCTTCCACATTAGAACTTTTAAAACACTTCGGTCTCAATTAAGTTTTATTTCTATAAACTAACAGTATTTAACGCACGCTCTCTGGTATTTCATGTCTCCTGGCACGGCGTGTTAACAGTAAGATACGTAGAGAAAATCTGAATAGTCAGATGTAGTGTTGAGTATACGATGTAGAAATGATAGACAGAATCAAGGTTGGGGCGTTACCTTCATATCTCTGCTCATAACATGATTTTGCCTCTTTATACGTCAGCCCCTGTCTTGTTTGGGCGCTGAACTGGCCCCCTTTGCCATCATATCGGTCACTAACACGGTCCTTGCTGAAGTAGAAGCTCTTGAAATATTTCTCGTTTAGAAACTGCAGTAGTTCGACATGAAAAAATGAAAGTAAAATCAAATAGAGACCTAAGGAATTTAACTAAGCAAAGGGAAACGGATTATAGACTCGTCTAATTAATCTAAACCAAATTTATATATAAATGAACAGATACGTGTTTATACAAGTTCAATGCTTCTTTTTATATAAAAGCTTAAAGTAAACTCTCCTGAGATCATTTACCATTAAATATAAGCTCAAAGCACCTGCTGCATGACTCGAGTAAATAAACGTGTTTGCAACAATATAACTAAATAGCACAGGGAAATGATAACAATTACATGTACATAATAAAGCGCTGACACAAAATCTGAGAAAAGGATAAACCAACAAAATTGGAGGCGATTAAGGGTTCATTTCCAGTGAAGCTATTGATCTACGTAGATCGATCCAACTCCGCAGGGAGGCTCACTGAATACAACCATATTTTAATATATGTTAAAACAGATTAACAAGCCTCCTCTTGTTTCCAACGTAGTCGTATAAACACCAGCTTTTCTGTATTCTACTCTACGTTAGAAGTAACCGTAACAGGTGCGTTGATCTCTTAATCTGATTGCATTCAGCGAGAGTACCCGCGGAGTCCTTGGTCTACGTAGACCGATAGTTTCATTGGAAATGAGCCCTAACGTCAATTATCAGATTTAATACATATCAAATTTAAAGACAACTTTGACATGTAAACGCATTCTTGAATTGACTTCTTATCTCTCGAGGTGATCATGGTTCGTGTTTTATCACACAGCGTGGTAGTCAACATGTGAAATATTTATGTAAACCTTGGACCCAGCCTATATGGAGTATGATAATACTTTTTTAATGTTCATTTTTGACACATTGGCATTTTCAAGGTGTGACTTCGAACTTCCATGGTCCTAACGATGTTACCTGTAGCGCATAATTAAAGATTGGTGGTGATTATGCTTCTAAGCATTATGTAATATTGCAACAAAATTGAAGAAAGCCCTATTTTGGTCACTGACACCATAAGACCAGTAAATCCTTGTCACTAATTATGAGTTAACAACTGTCCCTGTCAAAGGTTTATATCACTGAGGTCCATGAGTACGCAGTGACCGATCCGAAGATGGTCGTTTTTAAGGCTGTACGTGAGACTAGGGCTCTATTCCCATAGATTTTAGAGCGATCTATCCCCGCGGGGAGTCTCACTAGATTACTTTCAGATAATCCGACTTAAATGTCCGTCCCGCCTACTACAAGCAGTAAGGGGGTAATTAACTTTCGTGTCCGCCCGGCTGACAGCTATTTAGCGTGAAACCCCAGGGAGTTAGGTCGGTCTAAAGTAGGTCGATCTAATCTATGGAAATGGGGTGTAGATGCCGGAATAAGGATTCTGATCTGATGTCGAATATTGATTTTGGAGATAAGTAAATGGTCTTTACAATCCAGGTACAAGTTTTTTATTAGCCTGTATAACGTGTTTACGCCGCGAAGAACAAATACTGTATATCACCGTACTGAAGACACGTCATTTTACGGATACCCATTCAAGGTGACCGTTGACTACACTACTCAAATTGACAAGCTTTTTAAAACCACCGATATATCTACTCCACGAACACTGTAAGTATTATTTAAAACATGCAAATACCTCAACTTTCCCCTTGTTCAAAATAGCCCGTGTAAAAGCTGAAGAGCAGCTTCTTGGCGTACACCACAGTATAACCCTTTTCTGTTGGTCCCGGTCCATAAAAGCTATCATATACAGTGAGTGACACTCCCGGACTTTGTACTCTTTACAACAGGCCAGCAGAGTGTTGATGTAACCAGTGTAACCCAGCGGGCAATTAAATTACGTTCTTTCAACGTTGAAACAGATGTTGGAGTAACGTCAGATAACAACGTTGGATCAACGCCAGATAACAACATATGGTTCAACATCACACAACAGCTTTCTTGCAAATAAATGGGATTAAAATGATAAGAATATTTATTAATTCTGGTAATAATTTATTAGACTTCTTGGAAAATTCTGGGCCTTCAACCATGTTCAGTTGATCATTTGCGTCACAAGCAACGAAGCTGGTCACTACGTGCACTCAGTTCAGTGACTGAACTCATAACTCCTTCCTAAATCAATAAAATGACAATCCATAGCAAACAATAATACTGACATACATATTTTACAGTGGTAGATTACTTTGATAAACAAGTTTAATTGTTGAAAAGTGTTAAATCAAAATGTATGCTACCAATCGCATTTACTATCAATAAAATTGCAGATTCAGCAAACCGAAAGCTGCCTTTCCTTCCTGCCTTAAGAATCGCAGCGAGCGAAATATAACGTTGGATCAAGGAAGTAGAATATGCACTTCTTTGGTTAAATCAGCGTCTTGATCCGACCGCGTTTGATCAATGTTGAAATCAGGATGAAGCGTTGTACAACCTACATTTTACGTCCAATAAATCAGCGTCATTGTGCCGACTGGGAAGTGTTGTGCAAAATTCTCGCTGGACTCAGTGCAAGATCTGCATAACTAGTGAAAATCCGGAGAGATATCTGTGAAGATCTAGTTAGGTAAAGTCTCCCCACAATCCTGCTGGAGGGTTCTCTTTATTTGTCTGCTGACATTTGCTGTTGAAACTTATTTCAGTCCAATCAGGTTCTGAACAAACATGAAAAAATCATATTAATGAACCTTAGGACTGCTGAGACGCAGCATTCATGCTTTACCGCTCCCATTTTCGTTTTTGATACAATAATAATGTTTAATTGCATTAAAAAGATTGGGTTGTACAGCAAGTTATATTAATCAATGCAATCCTTAAATCCTTGCATTAAATAACAATAAATGAAATTAAAAGGCATTACTAGGCACTACTTGAGGTATTTTTCTGGGTCGATTGTCAGTTTTCCCACTCACCAAACTAATGTGCAATGCATTTTTACCATTGGATTTAAAAAACAGGAGCGAAAATAATTATTTCCTTTAAACCAAGCGCAGTCACGCTCGTTAACCTGCATCAGTTTTGTCCATTTAATGCATGAATTTCCATACTGGTCACTTCAATCTCAGGCACGGTGATAACTCAGTTTAAAAAAACGGATGGATCTAACCCCAATTCTGAGATCTCTCAACAGTGTAGCTAAATTTCAAGAAAGGTACCTGGAGAAGAAAGCAAGTAGGAAAATAAATGTATAAAAGGTACCATATTTTTTGTCAGACAGTCATAATTAGTAACAATGGGGATGTACATAATTAAATGTATATAATTATATACAAAGATGTATATTGGTTGAAATAACGAAGTCGTCATACACATACACGAAGTAAGGCACTTCGCCTACGTGTATGTCTGGGTCTCCAATAAATTCACGTTGATTGTGGCTGATACAAAAATCGGAGACAGGGCTTAAGGATATGAGGATTTCGGAATGGCAACAGCAATATAATAAGGTGACCTACTTGCTCATTTATGCAAGTTAAAAAATGACTGCAAGGTAAGAAATGACAGCTTTATGATGATGATACATGTCATATGCCCCTTGAACCGCAAACCCGTGCAAATGGATATTAGTTTTAAAGGAGATCTGCCTAGAAAAAACCTATATCAAGTGAAAATTTTGCGGGATATAGAGGAGGCGGGATAAGAAATGATGGTAAATGAAACTTGGCTGTTCAAATCTGCTTTTTTAAATCGAGGGAACAATATAAACTAAACACAAGGCATGTAACGTACTTACCGTGTATTCACCATGAAATTACACTTATAAAACCAAATGGCCTTTTACTTTTCAGACAACTACGAACTGGCAGGTTCTCTATATTGCTTTGGTTCCGCTTGTCGTAGCTGACGAAAAATGCTTGGAAGGGCCATATCACAAAGTTAAACCATCACCAGAGGGAAATGACTACGTTGAATGTTTGTCTTGGAAACGGTCATCTTGTTGTCTAGCCAACGTTACACAGCAAATCGCCACACACAAAGCCAAAAACCTTCACAACTACGAGTGGGATCGATGCGGCACTCTTTCCCAAGCCTGCGAGTTATTCATCAAGGACGAATTGTGCTTTTACCGATGTGAACCTGCCCTGGTACGTTTTCCGGCTGCAACAAAAGGTAACGTCAAGGGAATTCCCATTTGCGCCAAGTATTGCAACGACTGGTTTGAAGCCTGTAAGGACGACCGTACATGCGTTGCGGATTGGCTCGCTGACTTCGACTTCAGTAGAGGAGAGAATCACTGCCCAACAGGGTCACAATGTCGCACCTTCGCTGATGTGTACAAAAACGGCCAGGGACTTTGTGAAAGAATGTGGGGGGAAGCTTTCACCTATGAAACATCCAATAACTGCATAGTTATGAAATTCGATCCGAACAAGCCCAATCCAAACGCTCAAGTTCAGCCCAAATCGAGCAAAGCCTCATACATGCATTCTGCATGGTCTGCAATTGTTATTATCTCTCTTCTTCGCTGAATAGTGCACCTTCTAAATTTGTGGTTTGGTTTATTACCACATGCATATTTTCCCGAAAAAAAATACGAGCTTGAATACGGGTTTGATATTGACTCACTAACAACCACATTCTGCCGAGTTTTACCTACAAAGCCCTGGTTACAGGGATCCAGTGGTTTCATGTAAATATCATCTTACGTATTCGCGGTAGGTTTTGTTTTATAATCTTTAGCAAATGTTTATTATTTGGTTTACCGGACTCAAACATGCATTTACATACTACATTTTCTGTAAAACAAACTTTAGCTTATCGTTTTTCTTAGGTCATGTGCAGGGGCGGATTTAGGGCGTCTTCTGGGTCTTCCGGAAGACGGTCAGATTTTCAAGTTTACATTGGCGGGTATCTAATTTTTTCTGTCGGAAGACGGTCATAAATGAAGAACGGATCAACAAAGATAGTTTGGAAGACTGTCAGGAAATAACTCTGAATCCGCCCCTGATGTGGATTTTTTAGTCATGAAGCCAAATACACATTTAGGGTGTAGATAAAAGGGATATATGTTTTATGATAAGATCGGTCGTCGAAACGATATCGGCGCATACTGGGACCCTTCTTACTTTTCATTTTTGCTTTTCTTTGTTTTTCCTTTTCTTTTGCATTACTGCTCTATATGATTTTTGTTGTTGCTCACTAGATGTTTGCTGTCTGTACAGAATGACGATAAACTTTAGGCTTACAATGTACAATACATGCAAGCAGGTAGCACTGCCGAATCCAACTATCTATAATAACAGTCAGTCAACGAAGCAAGTCAGACGAGTCTGTCGTGTTTTTACATTAAAAGCAATTTGCATTGAATTTAAATTGTATTGCTTTAGATGAGTTGCCTAACACGATCACTCTTGAGTTTTACAGTACATTACATGCAAGTAATGTTAACTACCAGACACTTATTAGGCAAATAAATATTCGCGTAAATAAATTATTGTATTGCAAGAACGCCAAACATCATCAAATCGATAGTACTAGGAACTTTTTGGACACTTTTTTTGTAAACAGATAAGTTCTATCGTTAATATCTAACATTTGGAGGGGTGGGATATTTTATTTAATCAAAAAAGTCATGAATTGGCCAGAGTCATATCTGTGATTTTCTAGTGAAAGGGTAACTAGGTATTGCGCAGAAGCGACAGCTGTTTGATGGATCCTAGTAAGGTAAACTTAGTTTTCCAACTCTTCTAATTCGAAATTGGAAAAGAAAGTTAGCCTTAACTAATCGACGAGTTTAGATGGGCCAAAGAGGAATGATGATTAACACTCCGAAGAGAAATCTCAAAACAGTCGATCCCGCTAATTGTCCATATTGCCATAATAGCTTCTGGCGTACACCACAGAATAACCTACATGTACCCTCAGATATCAGGACCCACTAAAATACTCTACAAACTACACACTCTGTGGTTGTCTTTTTACGTCTGCTGATTTGCTGTTGAAACTTTAAACCGATTAGACTCTGAACAAGCATGAAAGAAACTCCACAACAATAACCTTTTACTGTTGAGACGCACTCATGTGAAAACGCTGTACAAATATTCTTTAACCATCGTTTGCCTTATAAAATATCAATAACACTCGAACTTGGGACTACTGACACACATATTTATCAAAGATGTAGCATAGAAACCCATGCTCTGGCACTCCTGTTCACATTTTAGGTCTCAGCTGTTTATGCTAACTCATGAAAAATTTAGGTGTAGATATACAGTTTTTAAAAAGATATGTCCAGTTTGTACGTCTGCTCCGATGCAGGACTGCTCAACTCTTTTTCTTACCTCTGGCTTTCTCAAGTCGCACTCTACAGAAAAACCAACTGATTTTGCAGTCGACAACGATCTGAATATGGTAAGATTCATCTGTCTACCAGTCATGTGTTTTTGTTTTTCAAACATAAGATGTTAAAAGAGAAAAGCAGCTAAATCCTAATATATATATATATATATATATATATATATATATATATATATATATATATATATATATATATATTTTTTTTTTTTTTTTTTTTTTTTTTTTTTTTTTTTTNGGTATTAGTTTTAAAGGAGATCTGCCTAGAAAAAACCTATATCAAGTGAAAATTTAGCGGGGTATAGAGGAGGCGGGATAAGAAATGATGGTAAATGAAACTTGGGTGTTCACATCTGCTTATTTAAATCGAGGGAACAATATAAACTAAACACAAGGCATGTAACGTACTTACCGTGTATTCACCATGAAATTACATTTATAAAACCAAATAGCCTTTTTCTTTTCAGACAACTACGAACTGGCAGGTTTTCTATATTGCTTTGGTTTCGCTTGTCGTAGCTGACGAAAAATGCTTGGAAGGGCCATATCACAAAGATAAACCATCACCAGAGGGAAATGATTACGTTGAATGTTTGTCTTGGAAACGGTCATCTTGTTGTCTAGCCAACGTTACACAGCAAATTGCCACACACAAAGCCAAAAACCTTCACAACTACGAGTGGGATCGATGCGGCACTCTTTCCCAAGCCTGCGAGTTATTCATCAAGGACGAATTGTGCTTTTACCGATGTGAACCTGCCCTGGTACGTTTTCCGGCTGCAACGAAAGGTAACGTCAAGGGAATTCCCATTTGCGCCAAGTATTGCAACGACTGGTTTGAAGCCTGTAAGGACGACCGTACATGCGTTGCGGATTGGCTCGCTGACTTCGACTTCAGTAGAGGAGAGAATCACTGCCCAACAGGGTCACAATGTCGCACCTTCGCTGATGTGTACAAAAACGGCCAGGGACTTTGTGAAAGAATGTGGGGAGAAGCTTTCACCTATGAAACATCCAATAACTGCATGGTTATGAAATTCGATCCGAACAAGCCCAATCCAAACGCTCAAGTTCAGCCCAAATCGAGCAAAGCCTCATACATGCATTCTGCATGGTCTGCAATTGTTATTATCTCTCTTCTTCGCTGAATAGTGCACCTTCTAAATTTGAAGTGGTTTGGTTTAATACCACATGCATATTTTTCCGAAAAAAAAAATACGAACTTTAATACGGGTTTGATATTGACTCACTAACAACCACATTCTGCCGAGTTTTACCTACAAAGCCCTGGTTACAGGGATCCAGTGGTTTCATGTAAATATCATCTTACGTATTCGCGGTAGGTTTTGTTTTATAATCTTTAGCAAATGTTTATTAGTTGGTTTACCGGACTCAAACATGCATTTACATACTACATTTTCTGTAAAACAAACTTTAGCTTATCGTTTTTCTTAGGTTATGTGGATTTTTTAGTCATGAAGCCAAAAACACATTTACGGTGTAGATAAAAGGGATATATGTTTTATGATAAGATCGGTCGTCGAAACGATATCGGCGCATACTGGGACCCTTCTTACTTTTCATTTTTGCTTTTCTTTGTTTTTCCTTTTCTTTTGCATTACTGCTCTATATGATTTTTGTTGTTGCTCACTAGATGTTTGCTGTCTGTACAGAATAACGATAAACTTTAGGCTTACAATGTACAATACATGCAAGCAGGTAGCACTGCCGAATCCAACTATCTATAATAACAGTCAGTCAACGAAGCAAGTCAGACGAGTCTGTCGTGTTTTTACATTAAAAGCAATTTGCATTGAATTTAAATTGTATTGCTTTAGATGAGTTGCCTAACACGATCACTCTTGAGTTTTACAATACATTACATGCAAGTAATGTTAACTACCAGACACTTATTAGGCAAATAAATATTCGCGTAAATAAATTATTGTATTGCAAGAACGCCAAACATCATCAAATCGATAGTACTAGGAACTTTTTGGACACTTTTTTTGTAAACAAATAAGTTCTATCGTTAATATCTAAAATTTGGAGGGGTGGGATATTTTATTTAATCAAAAAAGTCATGAATTGGCCAGAGTCATATCTGTGATTTTCTAGTGAAAGGGTAACTAGGTATTGCGCAGAAGCGACAGCTGTTTGATGGATCCTAGTAAGGTAAACTTAGTTTTCCAACTCTTCTAATTCGAAATTGGAAAAGAAAGTTAGCCTTAACTAATCGACGTGTTTAGATGGGCCAAAGAGGAATGATGATTAACACTCCGAAGAGAAATCTCAAAACAGTCGATCCCGCTAATTCTCCATATTGCCATAATAGCTTCTGGCGTACACCACAGAATAACCTACATGTACCCTCAGATATCAGGACCCACTAAAATACTCTACAAACTACACACTCTGTGGTTGTCTTTTTACGTCTGCTGATTTGCTGTTGAAACTTTAAACCGATTAGACTCTGAACAAGCATGAAAGAAACTCCACAACAATAACCTTTTACTGTTGAGACGCACTCATGTGAAAACGCTGTACAAATATTCTTTAACCATCGTTTGCCATATAAAATATCAATAACACTCGAACTTGGGACTACTGACACACATATTTATCAAAGATGTAGCATAGAAACCCATGCTCTGGCACTCCTGTTCACATTTTAGGTCTCAGCTGTTTATGCTAACTCATGAAAAATTTAGGTGTAGATATACAGTTTTTAAAAAGATATGTCCAGTTTGTACGTCTGCTCCGATGCAGGGCTGCTCAACTCTTTTTCTTACCTCTGGCTTTCTCAAGTCGCACTCTACAGAAAAACCAACTGATTTTGCAGTCGACAACGATCTGAATATGGTAAGATTCATCTGTCTACCAGTCATGTGTTTTTGTTTTTCAAACATAAGATGTTAAAAGAGAAAAGCAGCTAAATCCTAATTTTTTTTTTTTTTTTTTTTTTTGGACTGTTTTTTTTTTTTTTTTTTTTCGCCCGCTCGCACCGATTTTGGGGTCCCCAGAGGATGTCATCCATAAAAATAAAAAAGTGTGGCCTTACTCAGTTTCTTGAAAACAACTTGTTTTGAAATTTCACTGAGATCTGTTTACGAAGATATATTCCAACAGAGGTAGAAGGAGAAGATAGCATGTAGGTATAAATGAAAATATAAAAATTCTCATCAGACTGTCAGAATTTGTAATAGTGGGTAATGTACGGGATCATATATACAGTTGCGTTTGTTAAGAAAAAGAAGGAAAAAATTACATCATATCAGTTATGCACATGTACGCCTACGTCTTACTGAATTCTGGGGCACAAATAATATGACTTTCAATGAGACTAAGGACACATTCTGATTCACAGATCGCACTATATGTAGCTGCGTCGGTACAACTCCGCGGGGGATTCTTGCTAAGGTGCAATCAGTGGAATTAGAGTTGGACCGACAGCTAGTACGATGTGTGAATCTGAATGCAGTCTAGTTAAACATCTATAAATAGGAGAAAGGGCTACAGGATATGTTTTTGGGATGGTAACAGTGAAATTAGGTCACCCACTTCCTTATTCTTTCAAGATGAAAAAATGACTGATGTATGTTTAGATATATTATGCTCCGTTTACATACGGTAGGCGGGATAAGAAATAATGGCAAATGAACCCTAATGGTTATTGTGCAGTATCCACCAGTCAGAATATAAAAACATATTTAGTTTTTTTTTTTTTTTTAGCTCTGTTTACTTAATGAAAGCTATAACATAAAACTAAATAGCCTTCTTCTTTTCAGACAACCATGAACTGGCATACTCTCTTCGTTGCTATGGTTGCGCTCGTCGCGGCTGACGAAAAATGCTTGGAAGGCCCCCACCACAAAGATAAACCATCACCAGAGGGAGATGGCTACGTTGAATGTTTGTCTTGGAAACAATCATCCTGTTGTCTAGCGAACGTAACGCAGGAGATCGCCACACACAAAGCTAAAAACCTCTACAACTATCACTGGGATCGTTGCGGCACCCTGTCCCAAGCCTGCGAGTTATACATCAAGGACGAAGAGTGTTTTTACCAGTGTGAACCTGCTTTGGTACGCTTTCCGGCTGCAAAGAAGGGCTACGTCAAAGGAATTCCCATTTGCGCCAAGTATTGTAACGACTGGTTTGAGGCCTGTAAGAATGACCTTACTTGCGTTGTGGACTGGCTCGCTGACTTCAACTACACCACAGGAGAGAATCACTGCCCAACAGGGTCCCAATGTCGCACCTTCACTGAGGTGTACAAAAATGGCCAGGGGCTTTGTGAAAGAATGTGGGGGGAAGCTTTCACCTATGAAACTTCTAATAACTGCATGGTTATGAAATTCGATTCGACCAAGCCCAATCCAAACGCGCAAGTTCAGCCCAAATCGAGCAAAGCCTCGCGCTTGCATTTTGCATGGGCTGCAAATGTCTTTGTTATTTTCTCCCTTCTTCGTTAGATAGTGCGCTTTCTTAATTTCAAGTGGTTTGGTTCAATGCCACATGCATTTTGGAAAAATAAGAGCTTTAATACAGGTTTGACATAGATATTAATATGACTCTCCTAACAATGACGTTGTCCAGTTTTATCGGCGAAGCCCTGGTTACAGGTGATCCAGTGGTTTTGTGTCAATCTCATTTTGTCTTCGTTGCAGGTAGCATTTTATTTGAAATCTCAAATGTTTTATTGTTTACCGGACTGCAAACGTGAATGCACGTTCTACTTTGTTTATTAGATAAATTCTACTATGTATTTAAACTTAACTTTGATTTATCATTTTTAAGGTTATGTGGATTTTATGCGTTTAGCTAACATGGTTTTATTCTTTCATTTTCTTTTGCATAATAAAGGAGAAGATATATGGAATGTGTTTAATATTTTAACATATTGTTCAATCGACATCGGTGTATACTGGTGGAATGTTTGTTTTGTTTTTATGTTGCGGCTTTGTTTGTTTGTTTTACACTAAATATTTTCTATTTTCTTTCGATTCTGCACAGTATAACGATATATACCCGATATATATATATATATATATATATATATATATATATATGGTCGAGCGATAAAGGTCGTAGGCTGAAAAAATCCATGGATGAGAGGCAGTCATACCATCCATACATGCGCCCGCTTAAAGTCAACGAATCAAGCCAGACAGTGATAGGATCAGACATATATGTTTGATTTGATTTTTTTACATTCAAAAAAGCCAGTTTGAAACTGAATATGAATTTCCAATCGAAATTTTTAGAATCGGTGACAGTTTTAAAAAATGTGGTATACTACCGGTACATGATGGCCAATCGTGCTATAGTAATGTTGTGTTATTGCACTTTAGAGCATTTAACGAGTTGTCTGGTTCGATCACTTTTGATATATTTATACTACAGTTTATGCATCCCTTCAAAATATGTTGCCAAATTAGGTATGACTGACATCACAGCTGTTTATTTCACTGATAACTGGCAAAATAAAACGAAATGGGACCAAAAATAATTATTTGAAATTCAAAACACAAATTTGAGAGATATGGTAACTTTTCATTAACCAATTACTGTTGTTTGTACATTATNGTCGGATCACTTTAATAATTCTTTTTGTCTAGGGGGAGGGAATGTCATTTCCACAGTCTGGGCAATTTTTTAGCATAATTTCATCAGCGTTTATTTTTTTCTGGTCAATTGTCATTAATTTTTTCCACTCACCATTCCAATGCCTAATGCATATTTTTCATTTGAAAAAAATATGCAAATACTAAAATAGGCGCAAAAATCTGATTTCCCTAAAATTAGGGTCGGTCCCCCTCGTTAACTATAACTTATTTGACCTAGCACGTGAATGTTCGTGCTTATCAAGGACAGTCACTGCAGGCTGAGTCACGCCGATTACTCAGTTTCTTGAAAACAACTTGTTTTGAAATTTCACTGAGATCTGTTTACGAAGCAGATATATTCCAACAGAGGTAGAAGGAGAAGATAGCATGTAGGTATAAATGAAAATATAAAAATTCTCATCAGACTGTCAGAATTTGTAATAGTGGGTAATGTACGGGATCATATATACAGTTGCGTTTGTTAAGAAAAAGAAGGAAAAATTTGCATCATATCGGTTATGCACATGTACACCTACGTCTTACTGAATTCTGGGGCACAAATAATATGACTTTCAATGAGACTAAGGACACATTCTGATTCACAGATCGCACTATATGTAGCTGCGTCGGTACAACTCCGTGGGAGATTCTTGCTAAGGTGCAATCAGTGGAATTAGAGTTGGACCGACAGCTAGTACGATGTGTGAATCTGAATGCAGTCTAGTTAAACATCTATAAATCGGAGAAAGGGCTACAGGATATGTTTTCGGGATGGTAACAGTGAAATTAGGTCACCCACTTCCTTATTCTTTCAAGATGAAAAAAAAATGACTGATGTATGTATAGATATATTATGCTGCGTTTACATACGGTATTATGTCTTAAACACAAGGTATTTTAAGGCCTGTACACTGGCGGTATTCATCAAGAAACCATATCGCTATGAACAAGAAGCGAGACCACAATAAAATCGCGTTGAATGTGACTTACATTAAAATCGGAGACGGGCTTCATATTTTCGGAATGGCAACGGCAAAATAAGGTGGCCTCCTTGCTTATGCTTGCAAGTTAAGACATAACTGATTTATGGAAAATATGTTTTGCTCAGTTTATGGGTCAGGTCATTTAGCCTGCCACAAGTAAAATGTAACCTCGCGCAACCTGCCGCATAATCCTGAATCTTGAGCAATCGGTCATCAAGCACTCATCAACCCGCACTGAACCAGCGTGGTTAGTTACAGTTCAACCCCATAACGACAACACGTAAAGCGTGGAGAAACCTGTGGAGGCCACACGCCAACAACTGGTATGACAGGCCGAGATGCTGATGATGATGATTTTACTACGTTTACACCCTGAAACCGTGCAAACGGATGTTAGTTTTAAAGGGAATCAGCCGAGAAAATCATAAATCGCGGGATTTAGAGGAGGCGGGATAAGAAATAATGGCAAATGAACCCTAATGGTTATTGTGCAGTATCCATCAGTCAGAATATAAAATTGTATTTAGTTTTTTTTAGCTCTCTTTACCTAATGGAAGCAATAACATAAAACTAAACATCTTTTAACGTTTTCTCCATGTATTCACCATGAAACTATATTTATAAAACCAAATAACCTTTTTCTTTTCAGACAACCATGAACTGGCAGATTCTCTTCGTTGCTATGGTTGCGCTCGTCGTAGCTGACGAAAAATGCTTGGAAGGCCCGCACCACAAAGATAAACCATCACCAGAGGGAGATGGCTACGTTGAATGTTTGTCTTGGAAACAATCATCCTGTTGTCTAGCCAACGTAACGCAGGAGATCGCCACACACAAAGCTAAAAACCTCTACAACTATCACTGGGATCGTTGCGGCACCCTGTCCCAAGCCTGCGAGTTATACATCAAGGACGAAGAGTGTTTTTACCAGTGTGAACCTGCCCTGGTACGCTTTCCGGCTGCAAAGAAGGGCTACGTCAAAGGAATCCCCATTTGCGCCAAGTATTGTAACGTCTGGTTTGAGGCCTGTAAGAATGACCTTACTTGCGTTGTGGACTGGCTCGCTGACTTCAACTACACCACAGGTGAGAATCACTGCCCAACAGGATCCCAATGTCGCACCTTCGCTGAGGTGTACAAAAATGGCCAGGGACTTTGTGAAAGAATGTGGGGGGAAGCTTTCACCTATGAAACTTCTAATAACTGCATGGTTATGAAATTCGATTCGACCAAGCCCAATCCAAACGCGCAAGTTCAGCCCAAATCGAGCAAAGCCTCGCGCTTGCATTTTGCATGGGCTGCAATTGTCTTTGTTATTTTCTCTCTTCTTCGTTAGATAGTGCACTTTCTTAATTTCAAGTTTTGGAAAAATAAGAGCTTTAATACAGGTTTGACATAGATATTAATATGACTCTCCTAACAATGACGTTGTTCAGTTTTATCGGCGAAGCCCTGGTTACAGGTGATCCAGTGGTTTTGTGTCAATCTCATTTTGTCTTCGTTGCAGGTAGCATTTTATTTGAAATCTCAAATGTTTTATTGTTTACCGGACTGCAAACGTGAATGCACGTTCTACTTTGTTTATTAGATAAATTCTACTATGTATTTAAACTTAACTTTGATTTATCATTTTTAAGGTTATGTGGATTTTATGCGTTTAGCTAACATGGTTTTATTCTTTCATTTTCTTTTGCATAATAAAGGAGAAGATATATGGAATGTGTTTAATATTTTAACATATTGTTCAATCGACATCGGTGTATACTGGTGGAATGTTTGTTTTGTTTTTATGTTGCGGCTTTGTTTGTTTGTTTTACACTAAATAATTTCTATTTTCTTTCGATTCTGCCCAGTATAACGATATATACCGATATATATATATATATATATATATATATATATATATATATATATATATATGGTCGAGCGATAAAGGTCGTAGGCTGAAAAAATCCATGGATGAGAGGCATTTGTTAAGTTGAGGGCCAGTCATACCATCCATACATGCGCCCGCTTAAAGTCAACGAATCAAGCCAGACAGTGATAGGATCAGACATATATGTTTGATTTGATTTTTTTACATTAAAAAAAGCCAGTTTGAAACTGAATATGAATTTCCAATCGAAATTTTTAGAATCGGTGACAGTTTTAAAAAATGTGGTATACTACCGGTACATGATGGCCAATCGTGCTATAGTAATGTTGTGTTATTGCACTTTAGAGCATTTAACGAGTTGTCTGGTTCGATCACTTTTGATATATTTATACTACAGTTTATGCATCCCTTCAAAATATGTTGTCAAATTAGGTATGACTGACATCACAGCTGTTTATTTCACTGATAACTGGCAAAATAAAACGAAATGGGACCAAAAATAATTATTTGAAATTCAAAACACAAATTTGAGAGATATGGTAACTTTTCATTAACCAATTACTGTTGTTTGTACATTTTTTTCGAAGTTAATGTCTGCGATTCAGCATCTTTGGTCTGAATACTGGGTGTCAGATTTTTAGTAACATCGAAATTTAAGCTTAAATTGAAAGTCAGAAAGCTCCCCAAATGCAGTCTGCTCTGCCTCGTGCACGCGGGGGGTGGGGGGTGGGGGTACTGAATTTGGGTACAACTTTTATGAAGATTTTTTGATTTTCTTCGTTTAAAAGGCACATAACCAATCGGATGAACTATCAATAAAACGCAGATTGATGAGCAAAAACAAACGTTGCTTTTCCTTCTTATCTTATGAACCATGGCAATCACAATACAACATTGTATCAAGGAAGTACAGTAGATAATTTTGCTTCCTTTGTTGAATTGCCGTCTTGTTCTTATTTCTTCGCGTATTGGCGTTGCTCGATCGACTTGGACATTAAAATTAGGTTGTACATGTAAGATTCATCTGTCTACCAGCTGCATGTCTTTGATTTTCAAATATTTGATGTTTAACGGTCATAACAGCTAAGTTCGCTTTTTTTTAGAATTTTTCTGTCTTATCATTTAAAATATTTTTGCAGACTGTAAGGAAATGTCTTATCCACAAATTTTTGAGCAAAAAAAAAAAAAAAAAAAAAAAAAAAGCAGTCAATTTTCCCACTCACTATGCCAAATGCATTTTCTTTTCCCTTCAAAAATATAATGATAACAAAATAGTCACAAAAAACTGATTTCCTTAAAATTCAAGTCTGTCGTCCTCATTAATCATCTTGTCAAATTGTTTGGCTTAACGTATCAAAGTTCGTGCTGGCCAAGGACAGTCACTGAAGTTTGGGTCACGCTGATCACTCAGTTACTTGAAAACGATTGGATTTGTTCCCAACCCAGAGACCTCTCTACAGTGCAGATATAGCAGAGGTAGCAGAAGAAGAAAACAAGTAAGTAAATAAATTTACAAAAAATTATACCAGTCTGTAATAACTTTACAATATGAAAAATACTCCGTTTTCACCTGAATGCGACCTCTCCCCTTACCCTCTGATATCAGGAGCTTCTAAAATAGTATGCAAAATTAAGGTATAGGTGATACAATAATTTTGTAACAGACTTCTAGCGGACTCTGTGGTCAGAGACTGAGTGTACCCTCCCCTCAAAGTGTCATTCCATATATAAATATATATTTATATTGCAAGCCCCTGTACACGGGTGTTAATTTTAATGGGGAATATCCGAGATAGCCCCAAGTCTTACAACGAAATTTCGCCGGATTTGAAGGAGAGTGCGACAACGAAAAAAGGTTTACATTTATCCAGATATATATTTTTTGTTTGTTTTCTCCTAATTCACCATGTGTTCCATGTCATTTTTGAGTTGCTTTATACAGTTTTTACAGTTTGGTGCAGGTCCTAAGATACAAAATGTACATCTTAATGGCTTTTGTGAAATATCCGACTGCCAAGCACTCTTATCATTTGTTCACAACACCTTATCTAATCAAAGGAATTATAAACATGGCATATGGAGGCGTCTTTTAAATTTTATCGGCATCGGTGGGTAAATATGTAAACATAATTTATTATTGAAGTGAACTGTCTTGCGAAGAAATGCATATTCTCTGGCAGATAAGAAGTGGATGATGTTCTCCATACTACCCCGTGTCCACTCGCGTTGTCTCATCAGAAATTGCATAATGGCGTCTAGTCAGTTCTGGCCCACGGTCCAAACAATGGTTTTTGCATCCCATGTCACTCGTCTTCGTTAAACTGTATATTTACACCAGTACATGATGAAAATCGTTAATATATATATATATATATATATCGTTTAGTATGGTGTCCGACGAATCCGTTAACTACATGAACATATAGGCCTACAATAATTCATCGCCAAGGACCTGAATGTCACGGTAAACTTTCAAAGGTTTAATTTACGATTTTACTTCAAAATAACCTCTTGCCGACATATATCGGTCTACGATCGGCAATGCCACCAAACATTTCGCATTGCTGCACTGCTGGGTCCAATATACCACTCTCCTACACTCGCCTTCTGCGACGAAAAACAAAAAAATGGAGTAAATATTGCGATAGGTTGCACGTGACGCACGCAGCATCGAGAAAAGTGTTTTTGGCCTAAACTAAGCTTAGTAAAATGTCTGAAACATAAGCCATACTAAGAGTTGTACATTGGTTGTATTCAACATAAAGCTTTATTGCTGTAACAAAAGAAAACTTTATATTTACAGGCAACTATGACCTGGCAGACTCTCTTTATTGCTATAGTTGTGCTCGTCGCAGCTGACGAAAAGTGCTTGGAGGGGCCCCATCACAAAGATAAACCATCACCAGAGGGAACTGACTACGTTGAATGTTTGTCTTGGAAACAGTCATCTTGTTGCCTTGCCAACTTGACGAAGGAGATCGCCACACACAAAGCCAAAAACCTCTGGAATTTTCACTGGGATCGATGCGGTAATCTGTCCCAAGCCTGCGAATCATATATCAAGGACGAAGAGTGTTTTTACCAGTGTGAACCTGCCCTGGTACGCTTTCCGGCTGCAACGAAAGGCGACGTCAAAGGAATTCCCATTTGCGCCAAGTATTGTAACGACTGGTTTGATGCCTGTAAGAATGACCTTACTTGTGTTGTAGACTGGCTCGCTGACTTCGACTTCAGTAGAGGCGAAAATCACTGCCCAACATTGTCCCGATGTCGCACCTTCGCTGACATGTACAAAAATGGCCAGGGACTTTGTGAAAGAATGTGGGGGGAAGCTTTCACCTATGAAACTTCTAATAATTGCATGGTTATGAAATTCGATCCGACCAAGCCCAACCCAAACGCTCAAGTCCAGCCCCAGTCGAGCAAAGCCTCACACGTGCATTTTGCATGGGCTGCGATTGCCTTTGGTACTTTTTCTTTTCTTCGCTAAATGTCCTGAACCGCGCAAATTTAGTAGGCCTAATGGCTGAATTAGAAATAGTCTTGAAATGCAGACACCGTTGAAAAGTGTTTGGTGGATAACGCACTTAAAAACTCCCAAGATTAGTGGTAAAATAATCTTTATGTAGGAATCGCTGTGAAGAAATTTAACATAGACAACAATAGCCAGTTTCAATATGTTTAGTGTTAATTCGTTGTCTCAATACATTCTCCTTAGTGTGGTGAATCACACTTTTATATCTAACTGATGATAAAATATTCTTAAACATTGTGATTAAACAGACTACCAAAAATGATTACTTGGGACCCCTCCCCATAGACACCATCGGTCTGTGGAGCACCCTAACTGTGCAGGGACTCTCACGGATTGCAATCAGCTTTACTGAATGGTACGCCTTCTCCTGGCGTAAAGCAGTAAAGCTGTTGAATATCCAATATACCAGTACATTGGAAACAAGAGGCAGCGAGCCATTCAGTTCAACTGATTGCACTTAGCGGGGCCACGCAGAGTTGCGTCGATCCACGTACACCGATGGAGTAGGAAAATGGGCTATAAACCTTTTTAATCTTTATACTATGTATTAGACTATGTACACCTAAGCGAAGTCGCGACATTTGTATTTGAAAAAGAGATTATAGAGAATCGCCTGGCAAACGGACTTACAGCGAAGACTCGATTATTTTCTTTTGCTTATAAAAGGAGAAGATATATGGAATATGTGTTTCATGTAAATTGTTTATATCGTTCGAGCGATATTGGTTTATTCTGGACCTCTGGATTGTACGTCCTAGATGAGTTGTCCACTGATGACTCGCAAATAAAATGAAACTTCGTTTTAAATAATGTACAAAAGGAGGCACCAAAATAATTTATTGAAATTTAAGTATCGAAATGTATAATTGTGATGACATTTTATGTGGAGAGTAATCTTAAAATCATTTTCATGGCACCCCTCCTTTTCTACTACCCCTTCAACTTTATACTTTATTTATAATGTATTACCTTAAAATGCATATGTTTTGGAATAAAACTTTGCCGAACACATTCAAAATTTGTTACTTTTTTTTTTTAGTTTGGACACTTTCTTCGCAAATAAATGTCCACCATAACAAATTACTGGCATTACAAAAAGGAAAAATTCGTTTATTTAATCAAGGGTTAAGTTAAACCCGCTTATCTCAAACGCGTAGCCTAATTATAAAAGCTTTAGTACTCCGATATCTTATTACACTTGTCACCTCTTATTAAAACTATATTTTTAAAGTTCGAGATCAAGATCTCTCAAATTTGGAAAGGTTGGATATTTCTATTTTATCAAATGACAGTGGTGCTATTTATGTCGAACAGTTGGGGCCGGTGTGAAAAATAACCAATTCATTACATTGCGTAGTGTTTCTTCATATGCTAAAGTATTAGGCCACCCTCTACCAAGGCCGCAGATTGATTTTATACTGTTACAAAATTATTGTATCGATACTTTTTTATCAGAGGGTAGGTTCTATCAGAGGTGCAATGAGAATTTTATCACAGAGCTGACGGAAGGATTTACTGATGACGGCTGACGTCGCCTCTCTGGCAGAGAGTAACCCCATATTAAGATCCCCCCCCCTCCCTACAAAAATAAATAAATAAATAAATAATAAAGGAAAAAAAATAAATATAAATAAAATCACCACCCTTGCAGTCTATAGTTTTCTGTACCGCTCTCCAGTGCGGTTGCTTTTTGACAACATCAAGTGGCTAATTTTTCTCTCTATCATATGATAGACAACGCAGATGATCTATTAAACACATATATTCTGCCTACCATGAACTGATAGGCTCTCTTCATTGCTGTAGCGGCTCTGGTGCAACTGTCGCAGCTCTAGAAAAGTGCTTGGAGGAGATTTATCTCCAACACCAGAGGGAGATGACTACATAGAATGTTTGTCTTGGAAATAATCGCCTTGTTGCTTAGCCAACTTGACTCAAGGAATAACCAAGCACAGAGTAAAAAACTCTGCAACTGTCACTGGGGCCGATACGATTACCAGTCTCTAGCATGACATCTTTTAATGGAAGACGAAAATGTTTCTAAAGGGTACTGGTGTGAACTTGCCCTTTTCCGCTTTCAGGCTGCAAAGAAACTTGAAAGACATCGTGAAAAGAATCCCCCTTCGCGCCAAGTTTTGTAACGCTTGGTTTGATGACTGTAAGGACGACTTAACTTGTGTTGCGGTCTACCTCGACGACTTCGACAGATTCCCAATGTCTCACCTTCGCTGACGTGTTAAAAAGTGGTCAGTGAATTTATGAAAAAATGCTCGAGGATGGTGTGGATGGAGGGGGGGGGGACATCCATGTAATACAAAAGTTTTCATAACTGCATGGTTGTAAAATTGGATCCAAGCAGAGCCAGTATACCAAAGGCCAAGTCCAGCCCCTATCGAGCTAAGTCATGCATTTGCACAGATTGTGGTTGCCTCTGTCGTAAACTTTTCTTCTTCGTTAATTATAAATGATGTTTCTTGGATTTCAAGTTACTGTGAGATCATGATACCCTTTTTCTGTCAAGTTATAACAGAGATGTAACAGAGACAACATACCTGTTTACGAAATGATACAGATTCGTGAAGAACAAAATAACTAATATGTATGATATTGATCTTTAAGGAATCTTCACCTCTTTTGAAAAAAACACAAGAGTTATACCCAACAAAGAGGTATAAACCCCCTTGGTCTGAGCAAGGTGGGCCTATAGACTATCAGGGCTATGCAGGCAGCCAATAAGGCATGCATTTCATTTTATTAGCCATCTTATATTTTCATATAATCGGATCAACGTTTTATGCCACAGAACGCATTGAGACATCACCAACAGACGCAAAATACATATTTACTTTTTCCTTTGTTTGGCGCCTTTTAAAATAAGCTTAAATTTAGTGCTGTACGTAGGTCAAGTGGTTTCCCAAAGTTTATATATAATACTCTCTCGCCAGATCGTTTTCATGTAGTATTCAGAGGAGATACATAGAGTATATTTAGATGTTTTCACGCGGGATATGTCGGTGAGTATGAAGACTGATAAATGGAGTACATGCGTGCTTTATGCACATACACATACATACTCACACACATACGCGCGCGTGCGATTACTCTGTTGTTTTTTTTACCCATTGTTGTATTTATATATCGATGTTTTGTTTGTTAATTTGTGTTACATATGTTGTATATTATAGCTTTCAAATTCAAATTGAGAAAGAAACTGAACAGTTGGAATATTTTAGTAGAAGAAAACAAGTGTGTCGAAGCCCATTTTTTCCTGAACTTCGTATCATGGCAATCTGCATTTGATCATAGGTCACTTACGCAAAAATTATACTGTTATGAAGGTTATCCACTGGTGAGCTCATGTTCCCAGCCCAGAAGATATTTTTGTCGAAGTCTCTGATAACATTTATGTTCAGCTATCGCAATTAGCTTTTGTTATCTTGCCTTTGCAGGGTTCATCTAACGCACTTAACCAAACCGACACCCTGTTTATTCGAGATCCATATATATGTTTTAGGAGGTATTATTTTGTTGTTAGAAAAATATCGATTTACAGACCAGGCAAGGTTGAATGACAGTTGAAGTATGGTTACTCTAACATTTTTACAGTATTTAAACATAATTCAAAAGGGTTATGTCAGTTATAAAGTTTATAATCTCCAATGAAACTTTTCATTTTTGATACTGAAGTTATTTAGAAGTTTTGAACCTAGCTTCATGGCAAGTTTCAATTCTTAAACAGCCAATCTCGTCTTCCGCTTAAACTAATATTCTTTTGCCTATATGGGCCCATTTTTACCATCCATTTAGCTTTTTATTTTCATTATATATTTCAAATTAGGCCCCCTTAAATTTATTAATTAGCCTCCCAGACTATTACGTGACGCACATTTGGCGTTAGACCTACCAGATATTCCTGGCGTTTGAGGGAGGATGAATGTGACAAGCTAGAGCAACAGCTCTGAGAATCCTTTAGGCGGCAGAATCTAACCATTTCGCATGCTTCCTAGACACTTTCAGCCACTTCATCTGCAAATTCAGTAGGATCTTGGCATATTCGCACATAACTCACTGGAAACATATGAGCAATTTGAATAAATGGATTCTGACCGTAACTTCTGTGCGTTGGGTTTTTTGATTGGGTTTTGCTCGCAGGTGGAGGTGGAAAGTTCAGTTATCTTTAGCGCGTGTAACGGTTGTGTCATCTTCCATCCACTCGCCCTTTTCCAGCGAGACGAGGAGAGCACTGCCGTTGTGGAGACGACGACTGGGTGTCAGCCATTCTATATCATTGATTCGTGCAGGTAGAGAAAACTAGTGTTTATGTATAGTGTTTGGAATTGCTTGTACTTGCATGTATTCTGATGACGTCACTCCAAGGTGACGACTTGGAGTCTGTTTCATGTGGAGTCTTAATAGGCCCTCTCTAAATTTATCACAATTGCGTTTCATTACGACCACTTATTTTGTGTGTTAAATACGAAGTGAACTTAATGTATAATCACAGATATGTTTCGTTCGGCCAAGCTGTATAAATATCATACTCTTTTCTGGGGCGTAGGGCTTACAGGTAATAGTTAAACAAGGTTGTGTTATTGTAATGAAAATCAGAAATGCTTATAAATGCCTTCTGATCTTTCCATGACTCTTGGATATACCTCTTCAAAAACAGTTTGTATTTCTAAGGAGAAAGTCCAAATATTGAATTGCAACACTGTACACGAAAAGGATCTGCTTTTAATTATAACTTTACATGATACGCCTTTGATTTTAGAGAGGCGCAATAGCTCAGAACGGTAAGAAACCAGCTGTTTCAAGGCGAGTGCCAGGTATACATATATTTCAGCTATAAAGCAGGTATCAAGGAAAAGCTTTCACCGTTGCAATTATTAGTGGGAGCTTACTGGTTCCTACTCACTAAATCACCCACCCGTCATACTACCTGGTCGCTCTTTATATGGTAGCTTTACGACATAGCTGTGTATTTTTAAGCAACCAAGTAGTAAAAAGAGCACCGTTACATATATGGTGAGGCCCCGGCTGATATTAAGTTACGCTTACGCTGTCAGGATTTTTAGCATACCGCCCAGCCAGCAGCGGTTTCCGCGATTTACATGGCCGCCAGTTGGGCTTAATCCTTAGGCTTACACCTGAACTTTTTGTTTGGAACTGGGTTTTGTAGGATCTTGTGTTGCATTAAAGGTAAGGGAGAATTTTAACTTCGCCATGAAAAATCAAGCCCTTGATTTTTTTCATCTGTCATAAAGACTCTTACACTATTATATATTCTTATACATACAGACCTGTATTTAATTAGGGTGTCTATTTGTTTCACTGCTCGACCCGGCACATTATGAGGTGCCGGTTATTGCCTAAGTGCTGCAACCAGGCAAGCGCCGTGGTGAGGCTTTGATGAGAGATGAGCCAGTCCGATGCGACCCTGTGCTAGAGCATGAAAACTTATTATAAGTACAGGACCCGACACCTTATACTGTGTTTATACGTCTCAGCCTGCTTAATGCATTCTAAAACTCGTTTGATTGCCAGAATAGCCCATCTGACATTATCATAAATTGACGCACTTTTGGGCTAAGTGGACTTTTTGGAACCCTCTCAACTTATGTTTTCTGATTTTTTACGACAAGATTGATCACCCTGCCCCATGCGGTGTTTTATCTTATCTTTATTCCTCTTCTGGAGTGCATTTTGGTCAGTTCGGGTTGATTTATTTTGATAGTCCCTTAATTACTTTCATAGTCCACTTCAGCTTAAAATATTGAAATATGATATGCATTAAATCCGTGGGTCATCAGCTTCCAGATGTTATTACTGCCCCACAGGTGTTTTAGAAAAATAGGTGGTTTCATTATTTAGATTGAAAAATGAATTTCCACATAGAGGGCGCACCTATTTTTTGCCTGAATTAATGGCCGCCATGTTGTTTGTAAACAAGCACACGTGACAAACATCGGGCGCTTTTTGTTATCTGTTATTAGAATATTTCTATATTAAATCAATTTAGTTCAGTTTCACTGTGTATTTTAATTAATCATTTAATTTAATTTTTGAGTGTGATTAACTTTGGTAAGAATGCTAGGACTGCATGTATATAGGTCTATGCAGTATTAGTCCTATGACTGATTTGATACTTTCCTCCCCCGTTTGTGAAATTAAAAATCCTTTCTGTAGGCCCTACACCTTTAATCAGTGTATAGATTGAACATTGATGAAGCGTTTGATGAAGACGTACAAAACAGTAAAGCACACTATTTTAGCTTTACTTGATTCATTAATTTACCACATACTGTATCAAAATGTGATAGTTGATGTAAAAATTGTCGTAGTTAATTGTCACATATCACCCTTTAATCACCCGTTAGGGCATCACCGCACAATTTCGATTTTTTTAAAATAAAATCTTGTTTCAAAGTCGAAATTTATGAAACAAGACAAAATTGTAAAAATCGCTCCAAAAACTGTGGAAACACCGTTTAAATAAGGAAAAGTTAAAACGCGCCTTACAAATCTCGAAAGTCTGTCCTCCATTAACCAACTCCTGCTACACATCACAATAATAAATAACTTTTTAACAATGCTTATCTTCTTCGCAGAGGCGATGAACATCTAAGCAACAGCACGCACTAGACAACAACCATGGGAGATTTCGGACCACGGTTTACTCAGAAACCGCAACTTAAACAAGAAGACGGAGGAAAGAAGTTAATTTTTACCTGCGCCGTTGAAGCCAGTCCTCAGCCAGAGATATCATGGTTCCGGGGGACTGATGCCATTGTAGAAAGCAGCCGAATTAAGAGTAGATCGACGGCTGATGGTGAAAATAAATATACTCTATTTCTTGAGATCTTCGGAGTGACACAAGATGACGGAGGGACATACAAGGTCATTGCCAAGAATAAGATGGGGGAAGCCACGGCTTCGATTAATCTGAACTTTTCTGGTAAGTTTATTTACAACGTAAAAGCCTTTGTTGCACATTTATTTATTTATTTATTTATTTATTTATTATTGATTTACGTGTTTTTCTTATGATATGTAAACGGTTGTTATGATATCTAAATCACAGCAGGAAAGTGATTAGGAAAATAGTTTGGGTGGGTATTTATGCAGGTGGAGTGCACATTCCAAGTTTCTATCAGATTTAGGCGTAGATCAAAATGCCATCTCGCAAAATTTATCATAAAAAACAATTTTAGTACCCATATATCTTAAAAGAAAATATAGGAAGATAAAAAAAACCTGCGAACTTGTCATATCAAATGTTACTCCTTGACATCAATTCTCCCTCTCCCCCCCAAAAAAAGAATATATATATATATATATATATATATATATATATATATATATATATATATATATATATATATATATATATAAGCAAAAAAAAAAAAAAAGAGAAAAGAAAAGAAAAAAAAACGACACTTAAAAGCACTTTTCTCCATGTTTTGGTGCTCTATGGGTCTATTCTCGGCAGTTTTTGCACGCACGCCTATGTTGCTATATTCGTGTTTGGCGTCTAATATAATGTGCCAGTGCACGGCAGCAGCTTTGCCAGCATTGAAAAAGCGTTGCATACTGGCACCTGATCCTAATCTGCTGATGGCTGAGTTCGTTACATCTTGTTAAGTGATCCAGCCCAACGTGCAGTAGCCTGTATTTTCGTGCCACCTACTCAGAAAAGTTAATGCTCTTCCCACGCGCGTGAATAGACTGGCGGGGACGATCAAAAACGCCTTTGCTATATAAGACAAAAACACATATCAGGCGTTGTCTTAACTGAGATGCTAAAGCGGCATTGTGGAGTCGGCATGATGTGTTTAAGAAACACTAGTTAGCGTCTAGACATCCACTCAACTTGTTAACTGCTGTTTGGTGTATCAATATATCAATTCATAGAGACCTGCTCGGTACAGAAACGAGGTTCTCTCACGGCGCGGTGCCCCTTAAAAGGGTAGAACTGAAAGTATATAATTTTCTTTCTCAAATTCAACGATGTCATACTTTAAAGTGCATCTTATAATGTTTGCCTTTAACGAGATGCACAAGCGTGGCATTGATTACCTATGCTCCTGTTACTGGACGCTGGCCGAACTTCCTGCAATTGACCTTTAAACGCCCCCGCGAACAAGTTGTAGATTTCTCCATAATTTGGGTCATCCTGACCTGTGAACAGCTTTCGAAAAACACAAAAGTATACCTCAGGATCGCTTTTCGTTTATAAGATTTTTACGAAAATGACTTTGACTATTTCTGAGAAAACCTTAATTATTGAGAAATTTGCTGCCCTATAAAATTTGCACATTACAGACACCAACTCGGGTTGGGGGTGGGGGGAGGTAAGCCTTGACAGTATCAGCTTTATCGATATTATGTATACACATATAGGCCTATTTATGTTTAAATGCGCATACATGTGTTCAACCACAGCTACTGAGTGGTTTTAACTATTTGAATTGAATTATTTTGCTTTTTTCATCTGTTTTCTATTCACATTTCACCAAAATTTAAGCGTATATTTGTACCAATTCACATAGATCTGCAATTTCATTTACATGAAGATATAAAATAAATCAATTGAATATTCTGTTCTATTTTTTATTTCAGCCGGCCAAGAAAAGAAGTGAGTATTTAAGTGTCAGCTTAATTGTGTCATATAAAGCTGTTAGTGAAGATTGCGAACGAAGGATGAATGGGTTCTGTTTTAGTTCATGTAGAAACACCACAAGAAAACCCTATTATATTATTATACTGCTATTATACTTCTAAACCCTATTATACTGCTATAAAATTGACATTATAAATACTTGTTCTTTATATTAGATTTTTATGTAAATCTAAATTTTTTCCAAAAGGTATATTTTTTCTGAAACCATTGAGAAAATTACAATCTATAAAAAGTTTTCAAATTCTAAATTTTTGTTGGAAGTAGCTTTCATAAATCTCTATCACTATAAGAAGATTGATCCATAAACTAAATTTTTAGAACTCAAAAGAAGGTTTAGGGATTGTTATTCTCTGAATGATTTTGGATGTGGAAAACCTTGGTGATATAGGGCAAGTGTTGAAACTACCAAGAATATAAGTTTTTGCTATATAAAAATCCAATGCCTAATATGTGCAATTAAATTTCAATCCAGTACATGTTAAGCACCAGGCAACTACATATTTTGCTTTTCCCTCCACACTTGCTGACCTATCATGCTATGTCAGTTTACTATGTTCCTGTAAAAGAGATGCTTTCAGGCATTTCTGTTGGTAGGGCTTTCAGTGGAAACTAAGGTCGCATTCACAACAGCATACTAATGGATCGGCGGATCAAACATGGCTGACCCACTTGAACGCTTGTTGTGTAATCCCCGCGTGAATTCGATTCAGTGTATATTAGGGGATTATGTGGCAAGCTTTAAAGTGGGTCAGCCAAATTTGATCTGCTAGTCTGTTAGTCCGTGGATCAACTTGTTTCGAACGTAGCCTAAAACTCTTCAAATGCATTGTTTTTTTTCAGCCATTTGTTAAAAGTGATTCATTTATTAGAAGGAAAGTAGAATAGAAGTTGAATTTCTTTTCATCATGGCATCTTTGCATAGTTTCAAGCTTGATTTTGATGATTAAAAAACAGCAAGCTATTAGCCACTATCTTAACTGTGAAGACAAGATAGCATATGTGGAGTTTCAACAGCCTGTATCCTGTCTTTCAGTTAGGTTGTTAGCGAAGTCCGATTGGCTAAGGTAAACTGTTTTTTAAGGCAAGGATGGATGAAGATGGGTATTTGGTGTAAAGTGTGTCTGGAACAAAACAAGGCTGATCCTAAGTAGGGTTTTACTTGGGACAGCTATGAAATGATTTCTGCAAATTGTAGTTATTTTGCCATCCAAGAGAAATAATTTTTTTGGAAAAATTTATCTGTAAGGTGCCAAATAAATAGCTATAAATTAAATGTTTTGGCCACATGTTTGAAAATCTTCCACAGTCAAATTTATATCTTGCAAAGCTTCTAGTAATTCCCAATTCAGATGGTAAAACCCGTAAAATTAAAGTCTTCTGAAGCCTATCCAGTGTCCTTATTATTTTCTCAGCCTTTTAACCCCTTCAAATGTAGCTTGCAGTGTTTGTAATATACACATGTACATGGCACAGGGATATTTTCTTGTGTGAAAACGAGGCCATGCAGGGTGAAGACCATTGATGGTTTCGATTTTCTTGTTGACTGGCCAGTCATTAAAACCTAAAGTAATAAATTAAAAATGTAAAATGACATTCGTTCCAAGTGCGTAACAGGTCAGGCAACAATTAATGAGTAGGAAATTGCTCTTTACAACAGCAAAATAGGCCTATGTTAATGCTGAAGTTGATTAGTAGTTAAGTGAATTGGTAAATATACCAGTATTGGCAGTTTCCATATAGATATTAGGTAGTACATGTGTGCATTAACTTATTAACCTTTGTGGCATATGTCTAGAGCCACCTTACAAAGATGAAAGTAATTAAGAATATATATATATGTATATATATATATATGTATATATATGTATATATATATAAGACCCAACCTGACAAAAATCAAAATCAGAATTGACTTTTCAAACTGTTTACTGTATCATAAAAACTATGCTCTGCTCACATTTTCTCTATCAGTCTAAACAGTGCCAAGTGTTTAGTGCCTGGAAGCATTTATTTTGGTGTGTGTTGCAAATAACTGTATAACCTTATAGAAACAAGACCCTTACTGAGTGAGGCTGTTGGGTACTATCTTTCCACACAATGTTCTCCATTACTTTCATCATGATGTTGTCTGCAAATGGAAAAGTTCAACAGTTGCCACTGACTGTGTCATTCAAAGTCTTGATATGCTAGCAGTCTCTTACATCTCGGGCAAGCCCTTCTGGTTCTTCATGCAACTTATGGGGGATATTTACCTTTCTATTACCATAAATTGTGAGTTGGGGGTTTTTACACATCTTGTGTCTATAGTAATTTTTTAAACACACACACGAAAAAAACTTAAGGTGGTGTTTTGAAAAAATGATGATTATTAATTATATAAAAATATAAAAAATATGAATCACATTTAGTTTCAATAATTGTTGTTAGATGGATACAATTACATAATGAAATTATATTTTTACTGTGAATGGCATAGAGGAAGCTAGTGTACACCTGGTAAATAGATATAATAAGAGAATCCTAATTGTGCTGAGCCAACAACGTCACTACCTTTCTCATGAATATTAATGAGTAGTGGGAGTAACGGAAAGTCAGGCAGTACATTAATACAGCTGTTTACATTGAGACACTGGAAAACACAGACTTTGTTTTGAGATATTTCTTCAAAATGATAGACGGAATTACTCATAGCCTATCTAAATGTGTTAGTTGGTCAGGGCTAGCTTCCTTTCCCAATTGCCAATTAGCACCTGGATAATTTACGTAAATAGGATGGCTGGTTTACAAAGAGCAGTTAGTCCCATCTTTGTGCCAACTTTGTAGCAGTAATGAAGCAAAATAACATATCAAAATGCCAAGTTAAAATACCACAGGTTAAACAGCAGTGCTGTAAACAAACCAACAGAATGAATCGAGAGGCCCAATTTCCACTTTAATTAAAATATCACTCCTGTGTTAACTTATGAACAGCATCCTGGCCAGGACTAAATATAAATGATTTAATTGCATTAATTCATCAGCTTTTTTTTGTTATTTACTTATCTGTCAGCATTAGGAGGCATTCATTATCACATTTTGTAAAACTATGTAAGCCGAGTTCCACAGCTAGTTTTGTGAACAAATGACACACAAGATTGGAAATTCAGGTACATCTCCATCACAACTGCTGTTTCAATGCAATACAAAGTGAATGAAATAGTTTATTTTTCATGCCATCCCTACCTCTGAAAGGTAAAGAGCACCTCTGTCATTTGAGAAATCAATAATGACCCATCCATCCTATTGAGCAAGCTTGATGGAACATACATGTACCTGTACCTGTAGTTTTCACAAGGGGTGACAAGTGTCCAAAGAGATCTGCCGGTGACATGTCTGAGGTATAAGTTAAACATGACTGTTGATTGAATAACATCTCCCTTTCTTGCAATACCATTTAAAATTAAAAAAAAAAAAAAAAACATACTGTATAATGGAGCTTATCAGGGATCAAATTAGGCACATTGTTTAATGCTCTAAACTGCAATGGATGGCATGGTTGGTAATCATGTAGATAAAAAATTTGCTTTTAACCATTAATAGTTCTCAATTACACACAAAAGTGAAAGGAAGTTTGCATAAAACACTTGTAAAAGAAATCCATGCCTTACTTTGAATGTAAAAGTGTATGACAGACTTGATTACTGTCTAACTTGCTTTGCTAGGTGACTTAAGATGGATGCACTGTTTCTATGGCTCTATTCCCATAGATTTTAGATCGATCTATCCCCGCGGGGAGTCTCACTAGATTACTTTCAGATAATCCGACTTAAATGTCCGTCCCGCCTACTACAAGCTGTAAGGGGGTAATTAACTTTCGTGTCCGCCTGGCTGACAGCTATTTAGCGTGAACCCCCAGGGAGTTAGGTCGATCTAAAGTAGGTCGATCTAATCTATGGAAATGGGGTGTATGATTAGTTTTATTGCATAATGCTATATAGCTATGCAGATAATTAAGTGATGCTGGTAAAACCCTTTTTAACTTAGGAAGTGTTCACAGTCAGTTTCAACCATAACTTGTTAATGGTTTCTGATAAGTTCAGTGGTTTGTTATGTAACACATTGAGAACAATGCAGCATTTAAGATATTTTATCAGACCTGTAGTTGCATAGTAAGCAGAAAAATGTAGGAGAAAAGCCTAGTTAGCGGTTAACGATGCAGCAGTTTGGTTACACTCAGTAACACATTTTGCAGTGTGTACTGTGAGGAAAAGTTAACCCAGTGAAGGGAACCTTTATTAATATCTGGCCTTATATTTGGTATGTATAATTCCAGAAGAGTATTCACCTGAAACTTGAGAACTGTTGTATGTAAAAAGTCAAGATGCCCTGCCTTAAAATAGAATAGAAATAAGTAAATGAAAAAATATTTCTATTTATCATCTTGTTCTTGGTCATGTTGTGAATTTATTTTGAGAATTTACATGGAAGATAATGATTAGACATGTTGAGCATTTTTTATTTTATTTTATTTTATTTTTTTTTGTTTCCATTAATCCTTAGAAATGAATTTACAGACTTAAAAAAATGAAGTGAGCATTTATTCTGGTTAGTTTTTCTCTTTAGCTTATCACAGATTATTCATCCATTTTCTCATTATTGGAATAAAATTAATGAACTACAGATTGGCTTAATGAGGCCAGTCAGCCAGCACCAGGTGTTTGATTACCAGGAAAGTTTTCAAGAAGGCATTCTGGTGTTCTATTCACATAGTAAAATTGCATTCACACTAGACTAGGATAGCCTGCAACTATGAAGACCCTTATGGATCTTGGGAACGGTTACTATAATCTTTGGAAACATAGCACTATGCTTCAGTTTCTTTTTTTTTTTCAAATTCACTAGAAATAGCTGGTTGTATAGCTGTGCATGTGCATGCACCTGTTATCTTACAACCTGGACTGCTTATGTGTTTAGAT